TCCTTGGAGGCTCGAGCGTCCCTCGCCTTGGGATTAAAAGGCAAATTCATTTTCCCCGAGAAGTAGCTGGAACGCAGTGGAAGCCACTGAGCAGTCGTTTAATTCCCTGGAGGCTGTGTAAGGGTCTTGGCGTCCAGAGCGGAGCGAGGAGGGGCGCGGGACGGAGCCGTGTCTCACAGCACGGGAGCAGTGGGCAGAAGGAGAGAAGAGAGTGCCAGGCGATGTGCCCGGAAAAAGAGATGTCTGTCCTCTCTTAGCGTTGTGAGAAAAGCAAACGCCAAGGCTGAGAGCGGAGTGGGGGGACAGTGCTTGTGGTCCATCAACTTTTCCAAACAGTTGTTGATGTGTAGCGAGTCCTTGTGCGTGCCAGCTTGTTGGCAGCGGGTGTGAGGTGACCTTCTGGAAAATGAGGCACAGCGTGGGCTGCAGGTTCCTCGTTCATGTTTATTGCAGTAAAACACGATGAAGGGAACACTGTAGTATTGTGAAGCGAGAAATATGGGACGGCTAATGGCAAGGAGGAGCCTGCTTTATCTTCTGCTTTCCTTTAGTGGCTGTCGTGATTTACAGGGTAGACACGTGAAAAGCCAGCCCTGCTTTCCGTGACACTGAAATGTGGTGAAGATGCCGCCGAGTGTCAGAGAAAGGGCTTTGTCCTCAGAAGTGCGTTTTTGCCTGTGGGGTCCATTCAGTCATTGAAGGCAAGGGCTTCAATAATACCTCTGGGTATTAGGGAGCAGCGAGGAAGGCAGGAACTTCACCATGGGATATGGCAAAAATTGGATCTCGAGGAACGAAAGTGAGCACGGGCCGTACCAGGCTGTCACCAGAGCTCTGGAGATGAGGAATGCCTCAACTGAGCACATGGTGTGGCAGGGTGGCAATGATAGCGAGGCAGGCGCCCTGGAAAGCGAGGAGCACGGTGAAGAGCAGACCTACAGACATTTCACCACCACGGTGCAAATCGTCATCTTTGTGGGCTCTTTGCTGGGTGAGTGTTGCTGGTTTGGTGGTTTTTTTTGTTGTTGTGATGGTGATGGGATTTGTTTATCTTTATGCTTCGGGACTGCAGACCAAACAGTAACTAGCATCATTTGCTGCCTTAATGACTCTGCTTTTTGCAGTTTGGGTCGTCAGGTGTATGATTCCAAGTTCCTTGTGGTCTCTTTATGAGTGAAAGCTATTACTACAAAATGCTGTTCATCATAGATGAGAACTGATATATTATGTGTATCTATTACTTAGTCAAGTTTTCTATCAGAATTTAAATAAGCAAAAATGAAATGTGTTGATCACACCCTTATTTTCAGCTGTGGTGGGATCTGTTCACTTTACCATAGAAAAGGGTGTAGAGAGTTTTGAACAAATTTTAGTCAATTTCTGCTTTACAGTACAGTATTTCTATAGTTGTGTCCTGCAGATTTTAAGTTAATCCTCTGGAAGTACTTCATGCTGTAAATATTTATAACCATGTGGAATCTTTCCTAATTGTTATCTCAGAGAAGGAGTCATAGACTTTAGATATGTGGTAGTAAACTAGTAATGTATTGTTGTGTAAATTTACAAATGTGTGTGCATTTGCTTTCTAAGTGCCTATAAGTGCTGTCGTGTTAGGAATACATGTACATTTCTTACCCAAAAAAAGGCAAAATAAGTCTTGTGGTGAGTCAAGTAAGCATTCTTTGGGAGATCAGCAAGCTGGCTTTCAGTAACGTGCCACTACTGTCTGTATGATTCAAAGCTGGTTACTGGAAGTGAAGCTTTTCAAGCAAGGCTTGGCTGAGGAAGTCTCCAGGTACTCTTCCGAGAGTTCGGTAGTTGCTTATGGTCATTCGCTCTTATTTATTTATTTATTTTTATTTATTTGCATTTTAAGGATTTATTTTTGTTTTTTCTTATATTGAGTAATGCTAAAATCAATTTCTGTGGTCATGGTAATTAATTCTAATATTGATTTCTTCTTGATAACATTTAATAGCGCTTAATTTCTAAGAAGATGGTAAGCATAATCTTGAAACAGGGTTGAGCTCTGGGCTCAGTCAAGTTACACACTTACTGGCTATTACTGCAAATCACTAAGTCTTATTCCTCTGTCCAGCAGGGGTAATCGTTATGTCTTGCTGTGTTTATATTTAGTGCATAGGTAGTGTAGGGAAATGACTCTTTTTCCATATGTTGGATAGCGTCTGGCGCAAAATGATAGCCAACAGTGTCCTAAAAATAACAAAATGGATGAGAAAAGTCAGTTTTTTAGTTTGTCTTTCAGATTTTGAGCCTCAAGAGCATACATTTGGCTTATATTTATATGTCCAGCCTTACTTTCATGAGCATGGATCTTCCAATTTTATTTGGAGAAGGGAGCATGCACTCTCATGTAATCAAGTCTTCAGCAGCCAGGAGTTTTTAAAAATCAACCAACCAAAAAATACCATAGCTGTAAATTTTGCAAGGCTGCTGTAAGGAATGCTTTGGCACTTCTGCAATTTGCTTTTGAGAGTTGAACTCTGTGAAAAGATTTGGATGTGTTGTAAGTGGTTTATCTGCCATTTGGATGACTGGGAGGCTGATGAATCTTCCAGAACAGAAACATCTTTAGGCCTATCAAAGAGCAAAACAGGAGATGAAATAGTTATTTTTTTAAATCTGATGATTAAGTAGTGCAGTAGTCCATGACAAATGTTATCAGCAGGCCTTGTGACTTTACAGCAATGGAAACCAATTTTAACTATGTCTTTGAAACTGGCTTCTTTTGCAGGCTCCCTACTGCCCTGAAACACTGTTTTAAGGTTTATGACACATGCTATCATACCAGTTGAAAACTTGAGAGTCTTTAAAAACGTCTTCCCGGATATCCCCATGAATGTACTGCTATTCCCTGTTTACTGAGTTGAAACAAAGTCACAATGAAGCTGAAGCTCTGGTTTCCAGAAGGTCTCCAAGTTCTGATGCCTGCATTCTCAGCTCTCATAAATGCCAAAAGTTTTGCATGTGTATGTGCTGCATGCTCTTTCTGCATCAGCAGGGACGAACAACTTGATAATTACCTTGTGCTTGTGCTAGCACAAACGCTGTTAATTGGGTTTACCTCTTCATTTGATCTCTGCCATGGTCTTCAGAGTGTGGGTGCCAGCTCTTTTCTCCTCAGGTGAGCCGCTCTTTTGAGCTGCAGAATAGGATTTTTTTGACCCAGTGAGTCTCAGGTTCCTCTTTGCAGAGGGGAAACCCTTCAAGGGGAATTAGGACTATCCTTCCCCCTAAAGCATGAGATGGGGGGCACTCTCCTCAGAGGTAGGATGTATTTTGGGTTTGTAGGATGGGTTTGAGTCCTTTCTGGTTTGGGTGGACGTGCAGCTTGTACGTCACACGTAGTCAGTGTGTGCCCAAACCGATTTGCTATTGGATAAAATAGCACTACCCTTTGAGAAGGAAGAAGTGGTTTCTACTAGAAACTAGCTAGAAAGGAAACAAACGTGTATGCCTCAGTCTTGATACTGAGTTCTAACTTAAGCAGCAGTCTACAGCACAGAGAGGTCCAGGTCCTACATAAGGGAAGAATCATAGTCAGGGTTATGAATTGAGTTTGGGTTCCTGTTGCCCAGAAGAACGTGATAGTTGTGAGGGAGAGGAACACTTTTTTTTTTTTTTTTTTTTTTTTTGTTTTTTTTCCTTCTCTTGTTTAAGGCACTTATTTGAGACCTATGGGGAGACTTGTAACAGTAGGAGAAATTCTTGTGTTAGTTTTCACTGTGTTGTGAATGGACAGGGCTATGGGTAAGTGTTTCATGATACCTGCTGAGGGCAAGAAAGAGTCAAACTTGTTCTCTTTGGTTACTTTACAAGATGTTGAAAGCACATGCTCAATTTATTTATTTGTTTTAGGTAGCAATAACAGTGATACTAGATTCTAGAATTTTTGTTTGCTTTTAAAAGGGATTACATAGTTGTCACAAGCTTGCCAAGGCTTGAACCCGGATGTGACTTCAGCATGTACATCAGAGGAGCTAACTGGTAGAACCAGCCAGAATTACCAAGGCTTGCTAATTGTGAAGCTTGTTTTCCCTATTGTTTTTTGTTCTGATTTTTAGGAATTTTTCATTGTTAAAAATTTGTCAGATTATTACATGTTTAGAATGGGCAAAACATAACAGTCTAAAAATCACTTATCATTTAGTGCCATTAGAAATGAGAGTTCTTTAGATAACTTGGTCATAAGTTACTGAGGTACCAAAGCTGTAATGTACTTAAATGCTACAGTTTTAAATAGCTGTTATTGGGACTGTGAGTCTGTCTGCACAAACTCCTGACTGTTGTTCTGCAGCCGTTTCTGTGGAAGTTCTTGCTTAGCAGACTACCTATGATTCCAGGACTCAAGGGCTGATGGTGCTTGAATAAGGTGGGGTAAACCTGCATTTCTGTACTTTGAACCCACCTAATACTGCCTGTTAGGTACCCTTTTGGGTGTAGACTCCACACAAGACAGGAGGCACTGGAGGGAGCAATTTGGTGTGTTTCTCTCCTGAAAAGCAGCTCAGTTTGCCACTGTGAAGGAAAGGTTTGCAGTATATTCAAGACTTGCAAGCCATTTCTGTGTGTGGTGCTCAGCTGGGTACATGAACTGGGGAATACATCTTGGGGGCTTTGAATGCTGTGCACACGTTGATGAACTTATCTACCTAATGCACCAGGTGAAGTACCAATGTGTATGAGAGAGAAGGTTTTGCTAACGTGGTCTTCCTGTGCAACTCCATGGCCAGTAATGGCATTTCCTAGCCTCTGAGCCATCAGCTCAAGGCAGGGCTAGAGCAAAACAGTGAAAGTTTGCCACTGGTGTTTCTCATTCCAGCATTTGAGCTGTGCTTGGAGTAGGGAATGTGGAACGTGTTACAGAAAAAAGTAAAAGCCTGCTGAGTATCAGCAGAAGCAGTAGGAAAAGAACCATGCCTCTCATTACCACTTCACCTTTCTGATCCACGTGTGTACTTGGTGCTCCCCGAAATGAAGAGAGTGGGTGCCTCAGGAGGTCTGGGATGGCACGTGCTCATGTTGGCATGTGTTTCTGGTGTGGGGTCAGAGGAGTTGCACTCAGTTGCCTGCTCAGGGTGTAGCTGTGCAGGTGCAGTATGACTAAATCTGTTGCTTCTCAGAGAAGTTATTATAGGAGAATAGAAGCCAAAATAATTACACTGCTTCTGTCAACTCTGTCATATGAATGACTGTTTTTTGGACTCCTCAAATGCCCCTAACCGGCTTAGCAAAAGAAAAGGTAGTGTGTTGAATTTATGAGTGCAATGCAGCAACTTGCATTACCTTAAATATGAAGGAAGGTGAAAGGCAGGAAGAACTAGCTGATTTTACTGGCCACGGGAGTGATGCAGATGGGAGCAGCATGACGTGAGAAGGAACATATGCTGTCAGTGCTGTTTCCCTTCAGTTGACTTAATTCTGTGTGATAAAAGGTGTCAAGAGTTTCTAGCTTTGCGTGTCCTGACTTGTTTTGGAAGGATGTAGAAGTCGTCAATAGAAAAACAAGACTGGTAGAGATTTTATTTGGAGTTGTTTTTGTTTTTTTTTTTTTTTTTGCATATTACTCTGTCTTTCTTTAGATTCTTGTCTCAGAGTCTTTCGTCCCAGTCTGTCCAGTTCACAGTGTTGTTCTTCCACCTCTTGCCGTAGTAGCAGAGTGCCATCAGTGATACAAATTAGAAACTGCATGAAAAAATGCTTTTGTTACAAAAGTCACTCCTCTTTGAACAGGAGTGAAGTTCTCCTTGGGATTACTGTCTTTTTTGTCTTTAAATAAAAGAGATTGAGTTTTGCTGATTGTGTAGAGATTTATTTGGAAGCATACTGACGAGTACCATTGGAATGGTAGAGAAGGAAAATTTGTAGTGTTCCCATATCCATGTGAAGTTGGTTCCTCTTGCTGGAGAATAGTTAGGCTTCAGGTTTTGTATATTTATTGTGATCACAATGGCTGGCATATGTCTCAGA